CTCGCCGAGAAAAATCCAAAAACAAATTTAAAAAAAAGACACTCACCACCAGCACCCCCGCCGCCGCTCCCACTCGCCCAGCTGCTCCCGCCCCGAACGAGGTCCGCACTGTAAGTGCGCACGTTGCGTCGGACATGCACGACGCGCGTGGTCTTGGCGCCGCGGCGCGGGCCGGCGGATTTGCCTAAGGAAGAGGACGGTTAGTATCTCGCTGGGACAGGGAGGACGGGAGAACGAAGAGAGAAGGAAGAACGAAGGAAGGTGAGAGGAAAGTAGAGAGAGACGTCTGCAGCCACACCGACGCACAAACGGCGGCGAGCACAACGAGGAAGGTCCATCGGGTATCTTGCACCGACACAGATCCACCTCGTCGTCCGCACCGAAACTACCGTCGTGCCACGTCTTGTCATGGTAAACGCGCCGGACCACCACCCCCGTCCACAGCAGGAGCAGCATCCTGCACGTCGTCACCGGCCGATCGAGTAAATCACTGACGCAGGGAACGGCCCCCGCCAGCCCAAGCACGAACGACGGTGCAGCATCACGTATCCGCTGCCGCATCGTATCCGCATCGGCACCAAGACCGGCCGGCCGCTGCACCACACCACAATCTCCGCCATAAGCAAAAGGGCCTTCTTGGCTTGTCGCCGACTCCACTAGGGACGACGAATATGACTAACGGAAGGAGCTCGTCGACCCGCAAGCCTACCCGTCATGTCCCAGACACGACCGCGCACCGTCGGCGTCGGCCACCGACACGACGTCCACAAATGCATCCCCCATTCGCGGTACGCACGACCCGCAGAAACAACGAGCACGGGCACGACCCTCCACATCGCCCCGGCCGTAGCTCCACACCTCATCCACATGCACGTACACGCCCAAGACACCATCCCGCTCCCGCTCTCCCGCAAGACGCCCACGTACGACACGACGTCCTGTGCATCCTCATCCCCATCTTCGCGGTCCGCACCACCTCCACCTCCGTCCCAAAACAAGACGGCACCTCCACCGCCGTGCGCAGAACCGATCCAGCCAGCAACATACGGCGAATCGTGCAGCACCAACACCAGCATCCGCGCGCACGCAGATGCATCTCCGCCCGCTTCCAGCAAGCGCGACAAGAACGCAAACGAGCTGCTGCACCGCGAGCACGTCGAGGTCAAGCCACCGTCCCGTACCGACTGCGTATGATCGACGCCACGCGAGACGACGTGCTCCACCTCCACGACGCACCACCACCTCTTCCCGAGACAAAACCGCACCACCTCCGCGCTCCGCACCGCTCCAGTCCAGTCACTGACATACGGCGAATCGTGCAGCACCAAGACCGCGATCCGCGCGCACGCAGATGCATCTCCACCTGCCGTCCAAGCGCAAGGATACCATCACCACCGCGCTCCAAAGCCCCAAGACGAACAACGGCAAGAGCAAAAACAAAGACGAAACGACTCACCCCCCTCCCCAACGCCCACCGGGTACATCCCCACCCACTCCCTTAGCTTTGTCGGCGCGCCGAGGCCCTGGTTGGCGGCGGACGCGGTGCCCTCGCGGATGGCGGCGAGGACGAGGTGCTCGGACGCGTGTGCGCCGCGGAGGTATTCCTAGAAGGGGGGTGAGTATGAGTACGAGGACGGGAGGGGGGAGGAGGGGGGAGGGCGGGCGGAGGAGTACGAAAGATGAAGATGAAGGGACGCGGAAAGGACGAAGAAGCGCAAGGACGTCGTGCGGATCGTGAAAGCGCGGGGAGCGGTCGTAGTGCGAAACCGACTGTCGCGGTGCAGATGGATGAATCCCGCGGCAGTCAAGACGTCCGCCTCGAAAACACGCCTAGCCCAAAAAAAACGTCGGAAAGAAAAGGCAAAAACGTCCGCCAAAAAAGGAAGAAAAAGAAAAAGCGAAAACAAAAGGACACACACCTCATACGCCCCCGAAAAACTCCCAAAATCCTCAATAGTCGGAAACAGCACCTCCTCCGCCGCCTCCTCGTCCTTCCCCTTCTTCCCCCTTGCTCCCCCGGGCGACACCGGCGGCGTCCCGTACCCGCCGTAGTTATTCGCATTCGCAGTATTCCCGTACGAGTTGGAGGAAGAGGAAGGCGGCGTGAGCCCAAAGAGCAATGGGGAGAGGATGGCGGCGAGGGAGGGCGGGGTGTGGCCGCTGGCGTTGGAGTGCGCGACGAGGCGGGTGCAGAGGGCGAAGAGCGGGGCAAGGATGGGGGGGAGTTGGGCGGGGAGGGAGGCGAGGAGGGTGGAGTAGGCGGTTGGGGGGTAGCCGTTTGCTGGGAGGACGTTAGTGTGGGTAAGTGACAACGGGATTAGGATAGAGGGAAGGGAAAGCCTGCGGATGGGGCGCGGGGGAGGCGCACGGCAGGCAGCCAGCGGGATGGAGAGCGCGAGTAATAGAGATGACGCGCAGAGGAAGAGCGCAGGCCCAAAAAGGCAATCGCGAGATTCTTCCCGAAAAGGAAGAAGAAAAATTGAAGGAGCAGACGTAAAAGAAAGCCGGGTGGTCGTCAAGCGCTGCACCGGCCGCAGGCTGCGACAAGACAGGATAGGAAAAGCCAGAAATGAGTACTCACCAGCCTCCTCCGTCCTCCACCGTTCATACCACGCCCAGCTCAGCAGCCCCCTCACCTCCCGCCCGCCCTCTACCCGCACAACCCTCGACAGCCCCCACCGCAAACACATCCCCAGCTCATGCGCCCCCGCAAACCGTGCCTCCTCCGCCCACCGCTCCTCACTCAGCGCACTATTCCCCCCCTCCCGACAGCTCGCCAAAAACGCATTCACCAGACGCACAACGCCGCCCCTCCGCACGTCCAGCGCGAGCGCGGAGAACACGAACGGCGTGGCGACCCCCGTGCGCTCGAGCTCGGCGCACACGCGCGCTACGAGCCGCGCGACGTCCGGCAGACCCAAGACGGCATCGCGCGCGGGGCTCAAAAGCCCATACGCCGGCCGCGGGGCGGGCGGGGGGCCGAGGCCGCCGCCCAGCGTCAGCACCATCGCGGCGTTGGCGGTGTTGTTCGCAGCCCACGCGGTCGATAGGTCCGCGGGTAGGGTGGTCGGCAGGAACCCAACGGCACCATAGCCCGCCTCGCCCGGGCCCGTGGGCGGGAGACTGCTGCTCCGCGCCCGCCCGCCGCCCTGGGGTGTACTACGCCCGAATTCGTCGGTGACGATGGGGGAGAGCGGGCGTGCGTTATTGGAGGTCGATTTTGATTTCGTGGGTACCTTTGGGGGTTTTGGTTTGCCCGGCGTGGAGGCGGTGCGTGCGCGTGAGAAGAGGGAGGGCATCGTCCTAGTCCGCTGCAAATCGCATTCAGCATTCAGCTACCCTGAAAAGCAGAGAAAATGAGAGGAGGGCGCACACACCGACTTCCCAGTCTATCGCTATGCTTCGTCTTCCTGCGCTCTCTTGTGAAAACGTATCGTGGTTACACTCCTCCAAAGGATGGTAAGGTCGACTCGACGGCGGACGACGAAGGGAGGGTGGTGGGTGGTCGATGGGAAGCGGAAGCAGCGCCGAGCTTTGTTTACGTACAGCAACAATCAATCGCTGATCGCCCTGCACAGCGATCAGTGAAGTCTGGACTCTCCCTTGTTTGCTGGCTTCCGGACGCTCAATGTGCGAGGACGATTCATGCTGTCGCTCGAGGAAGACGTTCGTGCCTTCAATGACTCGGGCTGACTCACCACCCCACTGGCGCAGGATAAATGAATGATCTGCTCTCCACTCTTCAATTCTGCGTGTCTACTGCCTATTTGGGCTCAAGGCGTCTTCAAGCTTCTATCTCGAATCAGCACTGAGCGCTGAGCACACCCCTCTCCGTCCCCCGTCATCGCCGCCTTCCCTTGACTCTATCCATCCCACTTCAAACAACCGCGCCTAACAACCTACGCCGATCCGTCCGTTGCCATGTCGTCGTCGCAGCTTACGGGTACGATACGTCGTCGCAGCGTCACTCGGCGTTTCAGAAATGTTAACTTTAAACTGGGTCTGCGCATGGTCACTCTGCTTCGAATTTTCCTTCGTGCCTGGCGTCCGTCGACGTCTGTCGAGTCCGGCTAAATTCTGACGCGGAAGTCGCAGATAGGGTCAAGCTTACGGACCCGCGCGTCGGTCGGCGTTAGGCTCTCTAAAATTCATGATTCTGAGACTTCGGGCTCTACTCGCATGTGCTGATGCAGTGAATGTTGATTCGAAAAATGCAAGTGCCGAATCAAGCACGAGGCTCGAAAATTAATATCCCTCTTTCTCCTTTTGCTTTTGAAGCTTCGACCTCCACGAAATCAAGTTCACAATACGCGTACATCGTGTGAACAGAAGAACCGTCGCTGACTTGCTGCTCAATCCTCTCCCTCCATCCATCTGAGATCCAGGGAAAAAAAACTATACCCTGACCAAATATGGCCCAGGCTCGATTCGAACGAACGTCCCCGCAGAAACATTTTGGTACATGCGCAATTGAATGCGGGTGCGGAACCATCCGCGACTGAGCCTCTTTCACTTACTTATCAACTTTACTAGGTGCGCGTCCAAAAACCGTCAAATGAACCGGCGTTATTTAACCGAGTAAATCCCGTCAGACAAATATTTTCTCTGACACGAAGGGTAGTCGATGTGCGGTCCACTCTTACGAAGCTCTTCGACGACGTTGAACTCACGAAAAGAAAAAGGAAAACGGTTCGCCTCGATGTCTCAAGGCCCAGGCTCGACTCGAACGAGCGTCCCCGCGTATGCGTTTTTTGTTTTGGCGAGCGATTGGATGCGGGTGCGGACCCTCCGCTACTGGACCTTGTTCACCTGTTTATCATCTTTGTGAGGTGCACATCCCAAGCTGTCGAACGACTCGATTCAACCTGTCCTCCAAAATGGTGAACTCAATTCGATTCTTGGCTTTGACGCAACATCTCCTCAGCAAGTTATCTTGCAAAAACGAACCTAGCGGAGGGAAAGAGCACTCGGCGGGTAAAACAACGACATCAACCGCCATATGGCCCAGGCTCGAGTCGAACGAGCGACCCCGCGAAATCAGTTCTTGTTCATGCCTATCGGATGCGGGTGCGGACCATCCGCTACTGGACCTCTTTCACTTGCTTATTGATTTTGCGGCTAGGCGCACCATTTTTCAACGCGTCTTGGGAATTTTTACTATGTTCCTCGATCCCATCACTTCGCAACACTGAACTCACGAAAAGAGAAAAAAATCTCGATGACTTTCTGAAGGCCCACGCTCGATTCGAACGAACGTCCCGCAGGAAATACCGTGGTCGATGAGGAATTGGATGCGGGTGCGGACCATCCGCTGCTGAGCCTCTTTCACTTACTGATTCGCTTTGCTAGGTGCACCGCTTTTTCAACTAAGCTGACGACGCTCCGACGTTAAACTCACGCAAAGAAGAAAAAGATTGTGGGGATCGATGGGTTTAAGGGCCCAGGCTCGATTCGAACGAGCATCCCGCAGAAATGAATGATATACAGCAATTGGATACAGGTGCGGACCATTCGCTACTGGACCTCGTTCATTGGTTTATTAACTGTGCTAGGTGCGCATCCTAAAGCTGCCCGTCGAACATGAACGGCACACGGCTTGATGTAAATCAGCAACTCCCGTCGCAATGCTACTCTCTACCCGTTTCTCTCATCTCATCAACTCATCCCTGGCGAGGCTCTGACAAGCCCAGACTCGATTCGAACGAGCGACCCCGCGAAATCAGTTCTCTCAAGCATTGGAGGCGGGTGCAGAACCATCCGCTACTGGACCTCGTTCACTTATTCACGGATTTTGCTAGGTGCACCACTTTTAGACACGCAAGGCGTGTATAGGAAATTCTAATATGTTCCTTGACCTTGTTTAATTACTTGTCTAGCGAGGCTGATCTCACGAAAGAACAAAAAGAATTCCGCGGCGACGGGTTGAAGGCCCAGGCTCGATTCGAACGAGCGTCCCGCAGAAACACCGTGGTCGATGAGGAATCGGGTGCGCATCCGCTACTGGACCTCGTTCACTTACTGACTGAATTTGCTAGGTACGCCATTTTTTCAACAAGCACGGCGCCCCTTGGAAATACTATGTTCCTGATCTTGTTTGCTTATTTGAGCGAGGTTGATCTCCTCCGACGCTGAACTCACGAAAAGAAGAACAAAATTCTCGACGGCTCTTTGAAGGCCCAGAGTCGATTCGAACGAGCGTCCCCGCGTATGCGGTTTCAAGTTCCTGACGAAGATTTGGATGCAGGTGCGGACCATCCGCTACTGAGCCGTGTTCACTGGTTTATCAATGTTGCTAGGTGCGTCGCTTTCTGAACGAACAAGCCGCGTCAGGGAAATTCTACCACGTTCTTCGGTCGTGTTTGCGTATTTATCTGGCGAGGCTCCCCTTCGGGCCGCTGAACTCACGAAAAGGAGAAAAAAAATCTCGACGACTTTCTGAAGGCCCAGGCTCGATTCGAACGAGCGTCCCCGCGAAAGCAGTTCTTTTTCAAGCATTGGATGCGGGTGCGGAACCATCCGCCACTGGACCTTGGTCACTTACTGACTGACTTTGCTAAGTGCGCATCCCAGGGCTGGCCGTCGAACATGAACGGCCCGGCACGGCTTGATTGAAATCAGCAAATTCGGTCGCATAATTTCTACTCTCCAATGTGAAGCACCCGTTTTCCTCGATCTCGCTTGCTTATTCGTCTGACGAGGCTGATTTTCTCCGAGAGAAAAGATTCTCGAGGTGGACCTTTTTAATGCCCACGCTCGATTCGAACGAGCGTCCCGCTACGATGATGAATTTGTGATGAATTTGAAGGACATCGGGTGCAGGTGCGGACCATCCGCTACTGAGCCTTGTTCACCTGCTTGTTATCTTTTTCAGTTGTACACCCCTTGCCTGCGAACATTTCCTCAGCTTCGTGTCTCCTTCCCGACACGAACCGAACTGAGGAAGAGAACAGTGGCGGGCTAAAACCCTGTTTTACGCCCTATGGCCCAGTCTCGATTCGTCCCGCAGCAACCGCGTGCTCGGTGATTAGGTGGATGCGGGTGCGGACCATCCGCTACTGAGCCTCTTTCAATGGTTCATTGAATTTGGTAGGTGCACATTCCAAGGCGACTTTTTCAACATGAACCAAATTATCAAGCGCTTCTCACTAGATGGCGTCCATTCACGAGGATACTCAATTACGTCTTGTCACCCTTGCCAGGATTTTCGTTGGTAACCTCATAACTCATTAAGGAAAAAGAGAAAGCAAGGGAACAAAAAATATGACAAGATACTCAATGCCAATATGCCATGACACAAGCCACGATTGTGGCATGGAGTTCTGCTTCCTGTGCTATTTGGTGAATATTCAAAACGCTCTCAACGTTTAGAAGATTGCGGATGTTCAAACATTGTAGAGGCATTTCGAACTAAGTATCAAGGAAATTGTACTACGGGAAGATTGTAACAAGCCGGATGGACGCATGTTTTAGACCTTGTGTAAAAATTGGACAAATCGTTGAATCTGTGATGGCAGAGGTGTCAAAAATAGCGAACCGCCGCCGCTCAAAATGATGTCTGCATACCTCTTAGTAAAAATTGTTCTGCTCGCGGGTCCCGATGTGGATGTGCATCCCTCGTTCCGCCAGCGCACGAAGAGGGGAGATATTCAGCAGTGGAAGACGTACGACGGGGCCCTGGGAGCTGTAGTCAAATATTGGCCATATTAAACTGAACGACTGCAGTTTGGCGCGTGCTGCGTCAGTCGCATCGCATCTGGATTCGAGGGCGGCCAGCAATTCGTCGTCGACCTGGTCCGACCCACACTCAGAGAACACGAAAGACTGCAGCTTCGGGAGGAAATTAGGGAAAGCACGATGGTCTAACGCCCGGACGAATGCCCAACCCATGGAGCGAACGAGCTCCAGCGTTGTAAGCTGTGTCAGTGGGTGCAACCACTGGACTGGAACCGTGGGCGACATGCCGACCTTGAGGGTGCATAATGTGCTGGATACGCGCGACAAAGATGGGACGATGTCGATATCCAGGGATCTATGATATTGGCTGAAGCGGTCCCCCAACTCGAAGCTCTGCAAACACGGAAGAGTGAGGAGTGACAGAATGTCCTCGTCGTCTTTGGTAGAGATGGTGAGGGAAATAAGGGAGGAATGGTTGATATATGATACCCCAGAAGTAGATTCCTCGCCTTCGGGTGAGCCGTGGCGGTGGAATTCGCGAAGCGACGTGGTCCACCGGAGCGCGTCCGAGCATTCTCAAAGTGGTATCGACGTGAGCGACATGCATGTCAATTGCGCCCAGGGCATGATCAGCATCGACGGGAGCACATTGTCGAGGGAAAGGCGGCGGAGCGCAGGAGCTCCGTGGATGTCGAAGAGTTGGAGACGACCTTCATGCTCCTCAGGGTCGTCGAGACAGGCAAGCGTGAGGTCGCCGAGGATTGGGAATGGTTGAACGGCATTGAAGTCGCAGAGAACCTTCGAGTCGGTCATCACATCAAGGGATTGGAACCGCGATGCGTGCTGAAGGATAACCAACTCCAAGTAAAGCGAGTGGCTGTCGGGGCAAGTGATCCCGAGTGATAAGGGACGGGTACCAGCGCGTCCAAACCACGTTGAGATAAAAGTTTCTGGTTGTGGGTGACGCGGAACACCCAACGCAGCGCCAAACTCGAACTCGGTGAGTGTGTCCCACAGGGCGGGGGTCGCCAAAGCCAAGGCCCTCCACTGGCGGCAGATTCGGGTGAAGACTAGGGGAGCCACATCAGGATACGGGCATCCTTCATCTATGCACCACTTGAAAATTTCGGCGGTGATTTCGGGGGGAAGTGTCAGAACGGGATAGGTGACGAGATCGAGTTCGGAGAGGAGGGCAGATCGTTGTTCTTTCAGGTCCTGGAGAACGGATTCATGATGCAGGATGTCGGCAGATAGGTCGGACAGACGTTGTCGAAGCACATGAGGTGGTGGCATCAGGAAGAAACACGCGTCTGCTTGGCTCCATTTGGCGATTCCTTTGGATGTAAACTCGACCAAAGAGTTCGGCAGCCAATCGGCACTCAAGTTGCCAATGCAGACTTCCAGAAATCATGGTACCGGTGGAATGAAGGTCAAGCGACAGAAAGAGCAGGGAAAAAGAACGCTACACGGTGACGCCAGGAATTTTAAATCGATCTAGAGTGAGCAAATTAGAGCTTTTGCTAATTCGTTGGAAAGAGAAGGCCGGAGCTTGTCCAGACTTAGTACTTTATTGTTGGATGGAGGCCCGTCCACCACACTAGTGATGGAAAAGCTCGGTTCGGTTCAGGTTCGGGGTACTTTTGCCCGAACCTTGAACCTGAACTTCGGTTCAGGTTCAGAGATTTCCTGAACCTTGAACCGAACCTCAGGTTCAGGTTCGAACCCGTTCGAACTTTTTTTTCCCTCACTATAGAATAACCTCAAGTTGACCCTGACATCAATTGGGTGTGAGTTTATGGTCCTTCTGTGAGTATGCAGGTATGTTCCCCACAATTTCCGCGTCCCCTAATGGTGTTCAAACATTATTTTCGCTTTGCGGGACTCACCGGGTAGGCCATCAGATCGATATCAAACGAGAAATTGCTCTTCAAACCCCTCCAAACCACCATCATCCCCACTGGAAAGCTTGAAGTGTGTGTCAGCTAGGTGTGACTGAATTTTTGTAAGGTGAATCAGCGAAAAATCACCCAAATAAGCCCGAAATGAGCGACCAGAGGTGTACTTGCGGTTCAAGGTTCGGTTCAGTTCAGCGGTACTTGGGACTTGCCCGAACCCTGAACCGAACCTCAGGTTCAGGTTCGGGCATTTGGTTGAACCTGAACCTGAACTTCAGGTTCAGTTCGGTTCAGTTCGAGTTCGAACCGAAAGGTCGAACCGAACTTTTCCAACACTACACCACACCGAGAGGCGCTCAGCGCGAAGTTCCAGTGTTCGCCCGAAAGGTGAAGGCCTTCGGGAAGTGAAGGCCTTCGGGAAGTGAAGGCCTTCAGGCGGCCTTCATGAAGGTCTTCAGATTTTCGGCCGAGTTCTCGAGACCTTCAGGAAGGCCTTCATTTGTCACGTGTGTATCAATTATT